GTGTTGAGACATTGACGGATCATTTTTTCAGTAATCAGAGTTCTAGAGAAGGAGTACAAGGTAAAAAGACTAAATCATTTCCATTACGTTTTTAAGAATAAAGAACGACTCTCTGAACTTACTACTCGAATTTTCTAAAATAAGTATTATTCTTTGAATTAGAGAGTATTTTAAACAATAAAATGATTATCAAAAATTAAAGTGAAAGAGTAATTAGATAGTATTTTGAAAAGAAATCTCAAATTCCTAATAAATCTAGCTTGATATTCTAGCTGAAAATAATCTTTAATTAAGAAATATTCTTTATTCAAGACTAATTAGCCTATTTATATAAATAATAAGAATGATTTTCTTTGAATTAATTATAAATTCTATTCTTATTATACTCTAGTTTCTAAAAGTTATCTTTATTAATCAAATTCTTCTCGTTAAATTATTCTTAAATTGAATAAAAACTATTTCTCAATTCATTCTCTATTAAAATTAAATTAACCTCTTAAAAACATTTTTTTACTTCATTTCATTTTTGTTTCTCTATGAAAGTTGGAGATTCATCTAAATTAAGTAGAAAGATCAACGTTTTTATTAATCTTAGATTGACTTAATCTGATCTCTAAAACAATTACAACTTCAATTTTCTTCAACTCAATTTCGATTTGTTTAGCGGAATCAATTTCCCTACGGGGAGAGAAGAGTCTCCTTTAAGAATAACTTTTTCGATCTGTCCGTTAGACATCTCAATGTCTTCCGAAAATAATTCAGACTTCACCGGGGAAGATACGTGTTTACCAAGATCAAAATTGGCCTTCGATTTCAGAGTAGTCGAAAGACCAATTTATAAACCAAATAGCGGTCCACCACTTCAACCAATTTCACTCATTCCTCCTCACGAATTAAAAGGAATTATTCTCGATTGTTTTCCATACCCGAAGCCAAACGACCCTAGCCACTTCCTAGTGGGCTACGAACAAGAGCCACATAATCGCATTATTGTACACCCAAATAATATTCGCAATTATGTGTCAGAATATACCTTGGAAAATTGGGAGCATGAACGGAGCACTGCAGAAGAGAATCGGCTCATTAAAGAACTTCAACCTCGTTTGATAGCATCAGAAAAAGCAAGAGTATTACGAGAATTGAAAAAGGCTGGTAAATCACGTGATGATCTAAAGGAGGAGGATGCCGAACAGTATCAGGCTCTGGGAATGCCGAAGAAGAGAGGCAGGCCTAAGTCTATGGCGAGTGTTTTTAAGCCAGCACCAAAGCCAGTATCCGATCAACCAAGTGGGAGGCGTGGACCTGGAAGACCTCGGAAAGTGGTGTCAGTTCAAGTTGTTTCGCCTGCTACTTCTCATCCCCATCGGCCTTCTTTGTCTCAGCCATCCTTATCTCAGCCATCTCTATCTCAATCATTTGCTAAAGCACCAAGAGCAATTTTGGAGCATACAATTGCCGATTCGACAAGCGAAGACGAGGACGAAGATACCGATTCAGCGCTTGATGATCAACTCAGCCATGAGGCAACCCATACATCTACCACCTCTAGAAATTTCTCTGCTATCCTGAAAGTTACGAGTCCGGCAGTGCAGCGGTCTAGTCAGGGTCACCTAAACAAGACTCCCGTTCAATCACCACAAAAGTACAAATCCTTCAAGATGTCACCCCACGATCGCCCCAAGAAAGCTGCAATTCTTCCTGGCATGAGTGTAAACGCATACCCATACGACAATCTCAATTCTAATGCTAGCAACAATAAGAAGAGCATGAAAGTCGACAAAGGTTCAAGCACCCAGAACCAATCTCCAGCAAGCCTTCAGTTACCCATCCTATCAAGTGGCGAACACTCCACTGGTCGTACATTTCACGGCACAAGTCAGAAGCCTCAATCTAAAATTGTCGATTACTTCAAGGATTCTGGTACTAAAACCCCTGCTTCGAAGACGCTTGGTGTAAGCCGAGATTACGAGCCTTCGTCTAGTTTGAAGCGCAAATCTTCTCCATTTATAGGACGAGAAGGTGAGTCAAGTGGAAAGTCTCGAAGTAAAACTCGGAGACTTGGAAAGGGCTCCAATGAGTTTTATGATGCCGAATACAAGGGAACTTCGAAAAAGAAGTCTGGATCACCCATCATTGAGAACTATGAAACAAGCTTCGAGCCAAGCTTGAGTGCACAGCGTGGAAGCGATGCTTTCAATCTCCGTAGCTCTAGAAGCAGAAGTCGACGACTTGAATCTTCTCCTAATAATAAGATAGGGCTCGAGGATAAGGATGAAGATGCGATTGAGGATAAGGATGAAGATGTGATTGAAGATATGGATCAAGATATGGATCAAGATATGGATGAAGATGGAGAGGAAGAGAAAGACTCAAAAGAAGCTTTTGGCGGCGAGCCGCCAAAATGGCATATAAAGACAATCTTAGATCACAAGTACGAACGGAATGACAGTGTCAACAAGCAAGAACTATGGTATCTCGTCGATTGGGAGGGTGATTGGGACCCGACATGGGAGCCTGCCAATGGTATCTCGGAAGAAGCCGTCGATGAGTACATCGCTTCGAGACAAGCTCAAGGACTTGGCAATCTCTCTGTTTCGATTGACGCGATAGATATAGGGGCAATTGGTGATTCATTATCACGAGGCGATGATCTAGAACGCAGTATTGAGGACGACGGGTATTCGTAGTCTTTGTTCCAGGGGAGAAGTCAAGGATGTTAGGATTTGAAGCAGAGGAGATAGCAAATCAATTATCGACCAACGAATCAAAAGTTGGGAGATAAAGTTGGAGATGTGGGTAATAATTTATTTGGCATCGGTGGATCGTTAGAAGAAGCATAATGGGAGGCGTCTGAGGCTATCTTTGGTAGATTTGAGGCACATTTGGCCATTATTCGCAAAACGACTCAAAGTCTTAAGTAGGCAACGAGAATAGTGATTTTCGAAATTATCACAGATACCTAATATCATACCGCATTAGCAATTTTCTCAAAATTTTGATAGTGGTATTCGTGCAGGGTGCTTTTGAGGTCTAGTCTATGCATCAAATACCAGGAAGAGCAAGTGCTACCGGGATTTGTGACAATTAGGCAAATGATCGCTAATATGGGATGTGCCCTGCTTCTGACCTCCACGCGTAGCTCGCATTATTGACATTGAGGATTGCGGACTCAAGACATATAAATGATCACAGCTGTACTATCTGCATTTACTTGAAAGAAGAAACTTCCCTGTTTTGCTTCTGGACTTATCTTCTAATCTCGTGATCTGAAAGCCATTTCTACGTTCATCTGCTACATGTAGGCATGCTGAGCCGATTACCACATTCATTCATTTAAATAAGCAAACTAATATGAAAACGTTGCCAATCCACTCCTGCCTAGTTCAAAAATGGCATCTACAAAAGTAGATCTCACCTCTCCCGAACCCTACATCACTCCCGCCGAGATCTACAGCGGTACCTCATTCAACGTCGGCGGCAATCCCAACCCAGATTCTTTATCGTCCACCTCACCGGTAACCCTCCGTATAGCAACCGGGGGAGCTGGTCAATCCGGACTCATCCGCGCTCTTGCCAACAAGTTTATCGAGTTCGAGATAGACAGAACAGGTTGTCCACGATTCAGCATCGCGTGGTTACTATCGGATACGTCTGCAAGTTTCAACTATTTGGGAAGTAGAGCGGCGGATTGCAGCATCACTTATCATAGGATTGCAGAGGAGATAGCTGTGAAGCAGGGAATTGCGGAAAGAAGGGAGTATGCTTGGAGGGATCATTGGTTGCTTGTTGGTAGGTTTGCTAGTTATGTGTGGCTATTATATTCGCTGTCTCGTCTTGATGACAATATCCAAGCTCCATTTGTAATTGCCCATCCCGTTCTGATGATTTCTAGGGCCGAAACAAAATCCTGCCGGTCTTCCACTTGATAGCACAGACGACTCTACAATATTTGATCTATTCGGTCAGTTATTTATAGCTTGTGTAGAAAATGCAAGCATTAGATTCTTATCCCGATACGATAAATCGGCCGCCAATATCAAAGAATCTTCCATTTGGACAGCTATCGGTCAAACTCCATGGGCACATCCATATTCAAGCTGGTATCATCGCTACATAGAGTTTCCATTTGCTGCATTGAGAGCTGCATGTGCCTTAGGCGAGTATACAATTACTGATAAGGGTACATGGTTAAGTATTGAAGAAGAAATTAGAGAAAAGATGAGTATCTTTGTACGCTATGGTTTCATCTCCAAGATATGTGTTGAGCTAATGTATTGTGTAGAAAGCGAGCACAGATGCCCCAGATGATCCATTATTGAATCCTGCACATATCTTAGTAGGCACGAGAGGGAAGAACATAGCCATGGCTCATAAATTTGCAGATTGGATGATAGCAAGGGACGGTGGACAGAAGGTTATCGAGGAGTTTGAAGTGAATGGTGCTATCTTGTACACTAGTGCACCAAACTCTTAGAAAAGCGAATACAGTGAATCAAAATTCTTCGTAAGTTCCTTTGTTCAAACCATCCGAACATTTTGTTTTGAAGCACTCCAGAAACTTGAAGTTTGGGCTGACGGTTCAAGGGATCTTGAAGACTTCGAGTGCATGGCCAAGTATAATTTTATTGAAGAAATGTAGATTTGCAATCAAGGTTAATTCTACATGATGTGTTGCGTGGATCACGTCCAGTATTGTCATTCACTCGTTTTGAAAAAGGCATCCTCTTTATTCCATGTCACAAGCTGAATAAGAGGGGCTAACACGGCAAAAATCGACATTTTGAAACACTTGATCTGAATGGACATACAAAAGTTCTATTGATAAAATATTTTGCTAGTGAGGCTTAATCCTTCGACATTCACGAAGCCTTGGATGTTGTGGGAATCAATACAATCGCATATACACCCAAGAACTTGAGTGAGCTGTAATTTGATTCTTTCTTGTCGATTCTACAATTCAATTTCTTCCTAGCATACAAGTTACTCAAAATCTCACGACCATGGACGCTCAAGGCAACAAAGAGGAGTTGGATAGACGCTTCAAAGTACTCTCTACTAGGACATTTGAGCACGATAGAAAGTTCATAGTGACAGTCGAAAAACTCCCATCCGTCAAGACCATCATCAAGCAACCAATAATCCCGGGAGAATCATCTGCTGGCGCATTCGACACCTTTTCACTTGAGATACAACAAGAAAAGTGCAAGAACCTCGATTTCGAAAGCATGGTAATATTTAGGCAAACAAGCTACGCAGCGAAGATCATCGTCGACTCCGTGTTTCCCTTCACGGAAATCACGTCAAAAGCTCTTAGCTTCTTGAAGGCTATCTCTGAACTGGGGTTAACTCATGTCCACTCGGTAGCAACTATAGCTCGTTTATTAAGCTCATCCTCCTGCAATTTCTGTCCAAACTTCGGTTTTTAGTATTTCCCCTTGACTGGTAGTTGGTGTTGTTTCTTTTGCTTGTCTGAACCAGAGTTTTCTCTCATACGCAAAACGCAGGCATTTGAATACTTTGGTTCATCTTCCATCAGGGGCCTGCCATCTGTTTTCGCGAAGATATTTCTTCTCGGAACTCCGACTACAATGAAGGAGGTAGTCGAATGTTTCAGCGCACAGAAAGTCGTCGACATGTGCAACAGAAGAAGATATAAAACAAGACAGTACCATACTGTTTCCGAGGATCAATTCCAACCTCCCCAACACTGCCAAAATTGGGAAGCTGAACAGCGTTATCATTCCACTTATGCAGTAACCGTCAGAATCCCATTGCTAGGAGATTCTGATTCGCCCCCTTACATGGGAGGGTACTATTGCAGGTCATGTATTCAGTGTTGGAGAGGACCTCACCAGCATAGTTTCGTGGGAATACGCGTGATGAAACCACATTTTAGAGACGATTCAGCCAGAAAGGTTGTAGATGGAACGCTGAATCTCCCAGTTAGAACGATAGATGAGGATCTTAAACATACGGAAGCTTGTGCAAATGCTCGGGCATTTCTATGGCAGAAGAGACTGCATTTCAAGAAAGAAATGAGTTTCGAGTTTGAGCAATACCATCACATTATTTCTTCTCGATTATCTCATTTTCATATAGGTCTCAAAGCTCACTGTTCCGCAACATTAGGGATGACTATTCAAATAAGTCTTTCTCCAAACTCCTTTTCCTCCCACTAAACGATTCAACCTCCCACATTTGAATCACCAACTTTCATACTGATGGCGTCTTACCTTTCTTTTGTGCGCGCGGGATATCTTTGAGGGGGGGTATTGTGATAGGGGTTTCAGGAGAGACAATGGACAAATGGACTCTTTGCGGGTACACTGGCATACATTGGTCTAAATTTCTATGCGCTTTGGGATTGAGAGCTTTTTCAGAAGGTATGAACGTATCAGCAAGTTATTATGGGCATTTTGGCAGCACCGGATGTTCTCTCCTCTTTGATTGTAAAAAAAAACGATAATTTAAGCATAGAAAATGAATTAAATCAGGTCTATCACTTGATTATAGCTTTTGTGACATCAATATCGAATCTACGCGTATATTTTATGATCGATGAAGGACCACTAATCGTAACTCTTGGTCTTTATGGTTTTCCCAAAAGAACAATAATCACTCATAGAAGCAAGCTGCTGGTGGGAGATGAGGTTGGGATCCTTTATTTATCTTCCAAGCATTCTATACCTCAATGCATGTGAAACATCTAAGAAACATATGCAGCCAAACGATGGGTTATTAGTTCACGTTCGATGCAAATCTGATCTATAGTTGATGATTAGCTATGCTAAGTTATTGTTACTGAAGTCCAGTTTTGGACAAGAAACTACAAGCTGATGCCGTATATTGATCCTTTATAAGTAAGTAAAAAAAGCGAGTGTTAACATTCAACACACCCGCCCTCCCTAATCACTCTCGACTCAATCATGATCCTACACATCGGCTACCTGCCAACCGCCATCATCCTCATTTCTCTTTCCCAACCAACTGATCATGAACATCACCTTCTTTAATCTCGTTCTCATACACCAAGCCATCTCGGATAGTATGTATCTCCAGCACTCGCATCTCTCATTCCCATTCCCCCATTCATCGCCGAACCAAACATCTGAAAGTAACTCCAAAACGGTCTTTTCGGCTGAAAGACCGCCTCGTCTTCTAACACACTATATTAACCGCTTGATCCCAAGCAAGAGCTTCCTGAAGCGTATATCACTGATATAATCTTCGTCTCGCCAGCCAAATCAACATGATCACGTTTGCACTAATTACGACAAATGGCACCATCTGTGTGATCAAAACTTCGCAATGCCATTCTCAAAAAATCTCCAAATGTACCTGCATGAAGAGCGATATTATCTTCCATCCCAAACCCTCCATTTCGATTGACAAACCCAAGACTCGGTGCAATAATGCCTGGTCTTACTTTAATTAATACTTCAGCACCAGCTTTCTGAGCAGCAGGTCTTTCTGGAATCCCCATTTCGCTCGGCAATTTACATGCGGCTTTTGCTTGAGTACGTTCGGAGTGCGAATAGCAATCTGTTCTCTAGAATCTACATACGATACTTGCGTTTGATACGATTTCATTAGGAAGTTTGGGCGGATATCTGGGGGGAATATATGAAGTGTTCCAGTTGCAAAACACGCCGTGGAGGAATTTATCCCGATTGAGACCGACCTGTCGCTGTGCTAGAATGACGAGATTGTTGACTCCTAAAGACAAGGCAGCGATATCTGCATTTGTCAACTCCGCTGCTTGGCGAAGGACCAATCTGCCGAATTTTGCATCTAAGTCCGAATCCTGCTCTCTGTTCATGCTCCGAGTTACCATGCCACTATCTGCGACAAATCCATGGATAGTGCTTGGGATCTCATCATCACGGGGTAAGATACTATAATTCGAAAGTCGGGGTTCCCTTTCCTGACTTCTCATCTTGCACACATGATATTCATACGTCACTGCCCGTTCAATTTCGTAAAATGCCATCAACGCCATATCCTGAATATACGTATTCTCGAAATCAACATTTGGAGGTATAGCTCCGTATTTACCTTGAGAAAAACGCATATGCAACAGCACGACGATGAGCAAGATTATTCGGATCAACCGCCATCCAAACTACCTCGCCCTGATGGTCCCGTTTGATTTGTGCGCGGACTTGAGCTTGGTTTGTCTAGTCGAATGGGTTGATGTTTTGTATTGCTGTCTCGCATAGCTCGCCCCACGCTCCCGCGATAAACCATAGAGTCACAGCTGGGCTTGCTTTTGCTGAGGCTTTGAGAATTACTCCTAGATGGTTGGGGTCAGGAGGCGCCATTGTTGTGGCTTGGCACAGTGCCGATGATCTCAGTCAGGATGGTAATTCAGCTTGGTGATGAGGTTGGCAAAAGTAGCTCCGATCTACATGAAGAGCCTATTTATATCGCTGTAGTGATAATCGTATGCGAGAGACCCATTCACTTCACCGCAGAGGCCTGAAAGCGGGTTTCCGTGTTCATGTAGCCCAAACTATCACCATTAATATGCTGACAACGAACATGTGACTTGTTTGGAGACCATAAACATGTGAAAGCTACTGCTGTTATATTTGCAGTCCAGCTTCTCATAGTGACTGCTCAAAATGAAGACAAAACAGATACAATGCTACAATCTTCCAAAGTCTAATGTGCACTTGCAACTGCATTTTGGCGTCTTCACACCTTGGTGTTAAAGCTAATCAGTACAAGATGCTTGATTGATTAATAAGCCGCGAAACAGGCGAGAGAAGAATCAGCCATTCTAGATGATTCCTACCTATGCTAGCTGCCCACACCAGGTAGGCACGAACTGAAATATAATAGTCTGTTATACTGGACCAAGTTTACCACAGATCAAAGAGAAAACGACCTCATTCTCAATAGCTCCTACTTTCCCGCGAGCACACTTAAGGTGCCCTATACTCTAACGAGAAGATTAAATATGAGTTTTGAATTTCTGAAAGTAGGTCAATATTAGAAATAGATTTATTAGATTCGGAAAGCATATGCCTAAATTTTTCAGACTGCAGTCCGCATTATTGAGATTCCTGACCATACCATATTCTACCCTACATTAAACTCGACCTCCCACCAACCTCCGTCCCTCCTTGTCCATTCGGCATATCCCCACTCCTTCCCACCACAAACTCCCTATAAATTCCCTGTAATCTCCTTCGCTCATCAGCACTTATACTTGGTCTTGTACCCTCCAAGCTCTTGACTAAATGTTTCCAGAGAATAGTGACTTCTTGTTGACTCTTAACTTCCTTCTGCTCTCCTCTGTCTTCACTCGAAACATCAATACCCTTTGCTCTCAGTTTCTCCTTTTTCTTTGCCTTTTTGATTTCTTCTAACTTGGCGGTAATTGCAGCTTTTTCCGCAAGTTGTTTGGAGCGATTATTACCAGCTTTTGCGCGAGTCTCTGCTTCCGTCCGATCTTCATCTTCGCCATAGCGGAACTGCACAAAACTTCGAGGTCCGCTGGATGCCCCATTTGTCTTAGCACCATTACGTTTGCCTCCAACTTCAACTGGTTCATGGTCACCAAGTACATCATGAATGGCTTCGAGTTGCGCGTTAGATATCAAAGCCTGGAGGTCTGCTCCCGAATAGCCTTCAGTTCTACGAGCAATCTCAAACAGCCCTCCTTCAGGACTGTCTCGGACTTCTTCGGATAATTTCAGCTTTTTGCCTAGTGCCTTGAGGATATCAAAACGATCCTCCACATTTGGAAGATCACATATAAGGGACTTATCCAAGCGACCGGGACGGAGTAATGCCGGATCGATTAAATCTGGTCTCGAAGTAGCTGCAAGTACATAAACTCCGGATAAACCTTCAGCTCCATCCATTTGTGTCAACAATTGATTGACTACCCGATCAGTTACACCAGTAGAATCATGGCCACGCTTAGGAGCTATAGAATCGAACTCATCAAAGAATAGTACACAAGGTCTAGCAGCTTCAGCCCGCTCGAAGAGATCGCGAACAGACTTTTCAGAAGCACCGATATATTTGTTGAGAATCTCGGGTCCCTTGACGCTGATGAAGTTCAGACCACATTCTCCTGCGACTGCACTTGCAAGGAGAGTTTTACCACAGCCTGGGAATCCGTACAAGAGCAGACCTGATCGCAATCGCAGTGGACATTGTGCAAAAATTGGCGCATAAGTAGTAGGGTACTGTAATGTCTCAAGTAGAATTTTACGGGTCTCTTGTAATCCTCCGATCGAGTCAAAAGTTGTAGTTGAAGTCTGAAGGGTGACATTTCGAAGCGACGCCGGCGTGAATCCTTTCAAAGCACTGTCAAAATCTTCTCTGGTGAGTCGAATAGAACCGCTATCGGCGTTTTGCAGGGAGCTTGAGACTGTCCGAATCATTGCTTCGCTCCTGGCTCGAGCTACAAGAAGGACGAGATCTCCAGGCATGTAACCATCAGTTTGACCAGCTAGATCTAAGAAATCGAGATCTTGATCAATAATATAACCATCGCCTTCCGATTTCTTGGTACCTTCTATACTCGAACCACCCATCCAATCAGTATCATTGTTACTCTCGCTATTATCTGCTGTGCTTGGGCGGCTACCAGATGCTACTGGTTTTGCCGTAATTTCCGAGATGGCATTTTCCATAGCAACCTTTTCCATAACTCTTCTTCGCCCTTCTTTGTTCGGAGCTTTCAAGGCGACGATCTCTCGCACGCAATGACAACCGATGATGTTTTTGTGAAGTGACTCTTTCGCTTGAGCGGTGGCAAGTAGAACAACGTTACTGCGATGCCCAATTAAGTATTCCCTAGCAATTGCAATTATTTTCTCGCTAATCAAATCACTTCGAAGGTTGTCATTGCCCACTTCAAGCTCTGTTTCTGCGGGACACAATTTGTCAAGATCATCCAATATCACAATGGATTTTCCACCGATTCTTGCACCCCACGAGGCAGCCAAGAAAATACGATCGAATGTTTCACGTATAGTTGAGACACGTGCTTCATCTGTAACAAATTTTCGACATGAAAGATATGTGGTATGATACCTGCTATCTTGTCGTAATCGATGTGCCAAGTGTTGAACCACTGCTGTCTTGCCAGACCCCAAAGCACCAGTGAGTAATACGGAAGACAAGTGTGAAAGATGTGAGTGTAGCTGTTCTATGAGATTATCAATGCCCACAAGAACAGGAGCTTTTGCACCAAGACCATCGATCGCGTTTGCTGCAAGTGTTAAGGGTCTTGGAATAGCGGCTTGAACCTCAAGATTGAATTTCTTTTCCGAACCAAGAAACCAATTACAAGACTGTTTTCCTGATTCCTGTGGTCCTTGGTCCAGGCGAATCATTCCGCCTTCCCAACTTGATGGGAAGTCAGAACCCGATGGCTTACCGAGTACTAAGCCATCAGTCAATGGCCCTTCAAAAATGCCACTTTTAGAACCATTCTTGCTGTACATTTTCATGATTGATTTTGCAGCTTCTTCCCGCTCAGCTTTCGATTCCCCACCGAATTTGAGACCTTCACTCGCTTTTCCTGTACTAGATGTATAAGGGAATAGTTTGATGTGTGGAGTACCGGATTTAGAAGTGGGTTGAAAAGTTGGCTTTGAAGATTGGGATGGGGCAGGCGCAACCCTTATCACGCCTCCAACCATATTTTTGCACCCCATAGAGGCACAAAGTGAACTCGATAGGGCCACATGGTATTGGTCTGGCGGTTCATCCCATGTCATCAATCTAGCTACTACCTTCGATGCAGGCTTCCCTGCAACACTGGTATTTTCATCTTCTTGTTGTTGTCGTTGTGGATCGATTGGCTCTTGTAAAGTAGCAGGCTTGACGACGGTGACGGTGACCCAAGTGAGCCCTTTCAACGAGTCACCAAGAATAAAGTCTCCATCAACCCAGATTTTCAATCCTCCATCATCTGCATCTTTCTCTTCCTCAAACCACTCCTCGCAAAGTGCCCTGTCAATACCTCTATAATACATGGCCGGCTTCGTCTCTTCACTTCGTCCACTTTTCCGACGTACCGTACTAGAAACACTTCGTCCGCCAACACTCTTTCTTGAAGACACACTCATATTTTCGCCCAAATTTCGTGATGGCTTCGACCTTGTTTTCGGAGCCACAATAACTTCTGCATCTGGTGCCAGTTTCGTGAACGCAATATTTGAAGGCGGAGCAGGAAGGAGGGACGTGACTATAATATTGGCAGTCGAGGTTGGTGAAAGATGTAACGTAAGAGGATGCGGCAGATGCGATGAACCACTCGGTGAAGTAAAGCTTGGATTTGGTAATGCGCGAATCTGATTGATGAAATTGAGTTCGAGAAAATTAGCATGCAATTCTATAATCTCCCAGTCTTCTGGAGTCAAAGGTTCAATATTAATTGTGTGGGCGACGGGAGGGTCGACGTGTATAGTCGCTGTAATTTTCTGTCCATCTGATATTCCCAATGTTCGCGCAAAGGTTGCATCTATCTCTACAACCTGTACCTCTTGCTCTCTACCAGATCCTCTAGTGCCACTTATCCCATCCCTCCCGACAATCGGTGCAAGCTTGCGCTTGCTTTGCATACCCGTCCATCCCACGAAGATGGATCGTTGAGTAGGGGCGCCATTCGTTTGATTTGGGCCCTGCGGAGGTGGAATCCGGTAGTTCAATTCTACAATCACATTTTGTGCAAGCTACGGAATGTGAGTGCATACTTCTGAGGTAGATTTCGAGTTGCGACTTACGGCATTGATATTAACTAGCAATGAAGATAATGATGACGGCAAGTTAACCAAGCAGTTCTTTAGATGAATTAAGGATATCTCTGCAGGTGTAGCTTGACTACCACGCCCTTTTAAGTTTGAGGCCATAATTAAAAGTATAATAATACAAATCAATATACCGTAATGAGGGAGAAAAAGATAGAAAGGAGAGAGATTCCCAAAAGATGAAATACCTTGAGCATTTCAACTGACCGTCACAAGTTCACCTCGGTATATCATTCTGGAGCGCATACCCACCCGTACCTAGATTTGAGCTGCAAATGCGGTTCCGCTTATTCATGACTGACATTCAATCCTTTCTGAAATGAACTCAAAATCAGCAATTTATTATTTTGCGATTGAAACGGCTGTCAATTATTGATTTAGCGTTTTAGAATCTACCATTTCAATTTGACCAATTTTGAATCCTTCTGAACAATGTAACCATGATTATACGGAGCTGCGTGCCACAAATAGCTTGATTAGACACGAAAATTCACGAACCGTTGACAGGGGGATTGAACTTTACTATCAGCGCGTGAATTTCAATTTAGAGATTTGACTGAGAGATTCCTCAATTCAGCCTCATAAATCTTTGCGCCGTCAGCCCCTCCACAGTAACTCTTCTATTACCGTCTTCCATTGCTTGCGCAAAGTCTTGGTTGTTTGATCAAACATTTAAGAGTATCAAGGGGCTCTAAGCAAGATGGCGCTTCTTCAATATAAAGCTCCCGTCAACTATGAAGCTCATCAAGGTATGGAGTTTTCTATTATTGAGAACTTCTGTGATACTGATTCAATTACTAGAGGCTTTCGAAGACTTTCTTTCCACCTTCAAGACTTCTCCGACTGCGAATATTACACATGCTTTAGGCGGCATGAACATTGACGAGGATGATTTCAGCGATGACAACGATATGATGGATGATGATGACAACCAGACCTCAAGGAGGCAGACCAGAGCTCAAGCAAAAGCCCCCAAGTTGAAGTATCTGGAGTTATTACAAAGAGTTGCAGATAGATACGAGGATGAAATCACAATTGAACTGGACGATTTAGCCAAAGTATAGCGACCGCCCCCCCATCTGTTTGACATACTGACAGTTGTAGTACGACGACTTACTGGATGAAGCTGGAACTCCTCTCAATTTGGTCAACTCAATTGAAACCAATGCAAAGCATTATCTGGATATTTTATCCAAGGCGGTCGATGCAGTGATGCCACAACCTACAAGAGAAATCAAGTGAGCTGAGCGGTAAACTTGCAGTGGTTTATTTACTAATTAAGTCGCAGCTATAAGGATGATGTACTTGATGTTCTCATGTCACAACGAACAGCTCGAAATAACGCTTTACGCCGTGCTGCCGCCGAACAGAGTGATATAACGGTTGAGCCCGAACTCTTCCCTGCCGAGCTTACAAGAAGATATACTCTGAACTTCAAACCATTAAGCGCTTCCGGGGATAATTCCAAAAAGGCTCTGGCAGTGCGACAAGTTCGCGGTGAACATCTTGGTCATCTTATTACAGTCAGGGGTATTACTACAAGAGTTTCAGATGTTAAGCCGACTGTGGAAGTAAACGCATATACTTGTGATAGATGTGGTTGCGAAATTTTCCAGCCCGTTGGATCCAAGACATTCGGGCCATTAGTTGAATGTCCTTCTCCCGATTGTACTACAAATCAAACCAAGGGACAACTTCACCATTCCACTCGAGCCTCAAAATTCCAGCCATTTCAAGAGGTTAAGATTCAGGAAATGGCCGAACAAGTTCCAGTTGGTCACATTCCTCGAATGTTGACTGTCCTATGCCACGGAGCTCTAGTTCGACGTATCAACCCTGGAGATGTTGTCGATATTGCAGGAATTTTTCTACCTACACCATATACTGGTTTCAAAGCCATTAGAGCTGGTCTTCTCACTGATACATATCTCGAGGCACAGCACGTCACTCAACACAAGAAGGCTTACGAAGATTTAACCATTGATAGCCGAGTTTTCAAGCGAATTGAGCAATACAGAGCATCTGGTCACGTTTACGAATACCTTGCAAAATCCATCGCGCCTGAAATTTACGGTCATTTAGATGTGAAGAAAGCATTACTTTTATTGTTGGTCGGTGGTGTTACTAAAAGTATGGGTGATGGAATGAGAATCAGAGGTGATATCAACATCTGTCTGATGGGCGACCCGGGAGTGGCAAAATCTCAATTACTCAAATATATCACTAAAGTGGCACCTAGAGGAGTTTACACTACTGGTCGAGGAAGTAGTGGTGTTGGTCTTACTGCAGCGGTCATGAAAGATCCCATAACCGATGAAATGATTCTCGAAGGTGGTGCATTGGTACTTGCTGATAATGGTATCTGCTGTATCGATGAATTTGATAAGATGGACGATACCGATCGAACTGCAATTCACGAAGTTATGGAACAACAGACAATTTCCATTTCCAAGGCCGGAATTTCTACGACTTTGAACGCTAGAACTTCGATTTTGGCAGCTGCCAATCCTCTTTATGGCCGATATAATCCCAGGATATCTCCGGTGGAGAACATCAACCTTCCAGCAGCTTTACTCTCCCGTTTCGATGTACTTTTCCTTATTCTTGACACTCCTACTAGAGACAACGATGCCCTCCTCGCTCGCCACGTCACCTATGTTCACATGAACAATAAACATCCTGATACTGAAGGCGTTGTTTTCACACCACAAGAAGTTCGTCAATATGTTGCTCAAGCTAGATCCTATCGTCCAACGGTTCCGACAAGCGTCTCTGAGTATATGGTGAAAGCTTATGTCAGAATGCGTGATCAACAATCTCGTGATGAGAAAAACAAGAAACAATTCGCTCATACCTCTCCTCGTACCCTTCTTGGTGTTCTTCGTCTATCACAAGCTCTTGCTCGATTACGTTTCAGCGAAGAGGTTGTTCAAGATGATGTTGATGAAGCTCTTAGACTTGTCGAAGCATCGAAGGAGAGTTTGTATGCTGACCAAGATGGATATAGAAAGGATTCTAGTCCAAGTAGTAGAATTTACAATATGGTTAGAGCTCTGGCCGAAGCTGGTCAATGCAGACCTGAAGAGGCGGATGATGAAGATGATGAGACTTTGGGTATGGAATTGAGTATGAAGAAGGTCAAGGAGAGAGTTATTGCCAAGGGATTCACTGAGGATCAATGGCGAGCTGCTGTTTTGGAATACACTGATCTTGATGTAAGTTCTCGCTTGTTTTACCCCTTTAAGAGGATTTTTGCCAACAATATCATTAGATCTGGCAAACTGCTGGTAATGGAACGAGATTGCTGTTCGTCGTGTCAGAGGCAGCGCACATGGCAAGGGATGAAGAGTATGAAATGGCATAAAATTATCCGAGGATATGAGATAAAGAGATCATATATGTGCATGTCATCCAGGCGTTTGTGGATTAAGGATATCCATGTGGCGTTTTATTGTATCGTTGTGGTGAGATACCGATAGAAGAGCATTAGTTGAATACCTATTGTCAATTCAGTCAATTGTATTTTCCTCCTAAGCCGTGTTGATACTGGTGATACATTTACTCATTCATTGGCATTCATAAGCCTTTCCGAACCCCCACACCGTTCCTGATCTAGCCAGCTAGCTGAAGGCAGTAAGCAGTATCCGGTGGACAGCTCCTACGGACATCAGATAATATCTATTCCGAATGAGGGCTTGGGTTTCGTTTTAACAAATCACATGTTCCCCGCCTACCTACATAAAAGAGATAGAGATAAAATGCAACCAACAAATTATACTCGTACTTGTACTTCACTTCGTAACCCTTCCCCACTCAATTTCCTCGGTTCCTCTCCTTTCTCTAGTTCCCTATCTCTATCTAGCCAAGTGGCTATGTATTGCTAATCTCTACGATATCATAATTTTACACACAACACACAGAACCACATACTAATTTCCCAGCATTAACATATACTCGGATCGTTGATGGGAAATTCGGAGTAGAAGAGGTATTTTCCGCGTTTGCAGCGGAAAAGATGATTGTATCGACTTACTACTACTAGATACCTACTTCAATGATATATAGTTTTCAAGTTGATATCGAGGACCATTAATGGCCAAGGTATTACATTAACACCTCGTATTCAAATCGACTCGAGTACGGGAAGACTTTGAGATGTTTCAACATTTCTGGAGGGTTATAGCTTTTGCAATGATTGAAAGGTTGCCAGAGTTTATTAATATTCAAAGAATTTTGAACACTCAGAGGTTATTAGAGATTCAAAGATTATCAAATGTTTACGGATTTTCAGACATCCAAAGTCCTTCAATTTATCACAAGCATCCAAAAGCTTAGTAAGAAATTCATACATGCCATATATCACATGGTGGAAATGTAAAAAACGGCAAATAGCAATTCTTATTGAGTTGAAGCTCCCACAAATATTGAAGGCCTTGGGCGGAATTGGAGCAAGCTGTGGGCGGTCATTCATATTTCTTCACGGTGCAAAATACGGGCATTTAGAGTGGCGTCGTGGGCGGGCGCCGAATCACCACCAGTAGCACCACAGGTATCTCCTTGGACGGGTTCGTAAATAAGTCCCCAAGGATTATAAGTCCAAATAACCTCTAGAGAAAATCAACATTGTACATCTCACAACGAAGGAAAGTATTACCCTTTGGGCGGGATTTGTTGCAGATTTATTCGGGCGGATTGCTGGCAAAGCCAATCATTCAGAATTCATTAGTATAGTTAGACTCATTGTAGTTGTAAGTTATCTTACTTGTTCGATCTCTCCCCTCTCTCCCACCTCCGTCAGCGACGGCGGAGATGGCAGATGCAAGACTGAAGGCAGATTGAGCGGGACAGGCAGGACGGTTTTGTGCGCCTGCGAAAGATCATAGAAGAAGTAAAGATAGAAATAAGGAATTTAAATATGAAAACAATAGTGCCGTGGCAGACAGGAAGTCAAGTAGATGAAGATGGAGTGAGAAATTTGGAGCGGAGTCATATATTTTACCATTTTGTGTGGATTTGTCTCATGGCCTTTTCTCTTGATCAATCTTCAGTTTCAGCACGCATCTTGATGTGGAATTTGCATGGGATGGTTACCGAGTAGTATT